GTGAAATGTCAGCTCTTTTGCCCATTAAACTTTTTTGGATTGCTTATCTTATTATTACTTAGTTATACGAGTTCTTTCTGTATTCCAGAAATGTCTTTTGCCAGATAAATGTTTTGCAGATACTTTCTCTGAGGCTTTGGCTTGTCTTTTCCATTTTTATGAGTATCTTCTGAAAAGCTATAGCTTTTAATTTTGATTAAATCAGTTTATTGACTTTTTTATTTTATGTTTTCCTTTTGTATTCTACCAAGAAATGTTTGCCTAGTTTATGTTTAGATTTGTGATCCACTCTGCGTTACTTTTTCTATATGTTTGCATGGTAAGGGTCAAAGTTCCTTTTTTTTTTTTTTCAGGCTATGGCTCTTCAGTTGTTTGTTTTAACACCATTTGCTCAAAATGGTTTTTCCCTATTGGCACCTTTTTGAAGGCAGCTGTGTTCACCACTATACCACCAGTTGGTACTGCACCGTTGGTACTTTCTGTCTAAAAAAATGTGTGGGTCAGTTTTGGGCTCTGTCTTATTTCATTGATCTTTTTGCCTGTCTTTATTCTAATACCACAATAGCCTTAATTACTGTAGCTTTCATAGTAAGTCTTGAAATCAAGTAGTATAGGTATTCCAACTTTCTTCCTTTTTTTCAAAATTGGCTATTCTAGGTCTTTTACATTTTCATATAAATTTTAGAATCAAATTTTTAAGTTCTACAGAAAGCCTTACTGGGATTTGGAGTGGGATTGTATTGAATGTATAGATTCATTTGGTGAGAATGGACATCTTACTAATAATCAGTCTTTGAATCCATGAACACAGTATATCTCTCTATTTACTTAAGTTTTCTTTAATTTCTCTTGGTAATGTTTTGTAGTCTTCACTGTACAAATCTTACGTATGTATCCCTAAACATTTCCTATTAAATTTTTTTTTTAATTTGTTTATTTTGAGAGAGAGAGAGAGTGAGCATGAGTGGGGTAGAGGCAGAGAGAGAGGGAGAGCACAGAGCCTGATGTGGGGCTTGAACCCACAAACCATGAGATCATGACCTGAGCTGAGATCAAGAGTCCGATGCTTAACTGACTGGGCCACCTGGGTACCCCAGCATTTCCCATTTTTTGATGCTACTGTAAATGATATATTTTTTTGTCGTGTTTATTTTTGAAAGACAGAGTGTATGCAGGGGAGAGGCAGAGAGAGGGGGACAGAGGATCTGAAGTGGGCTCTGTGCTGACAGCAGGGAGCCCAGCGTGGGGCTCGAGCTCAAACCGCAAGATCATGACCTGAGCCAAAGTTGGACACTTAACCGACTGAGCCACCCACCCAGGCCTTTTTAAAGTTCACTTGCTAAGTTGTTGCTGGTATATAGAAATATCACTGATTTTTGTATATTGACTTTGTTCCTGTGGCCTTGCTAAATATGCTTGTTAGTTCTGGTAGACTTTTCTGTAAATTCCATAGTATTATCTCAATCATATCATCTGTAGATAAAGATAGCTTTGTATTCTTCCGTTCTAATATGTCCCCCTTTTTTCATTTTTCTTGCTTGATTGCCTTGCTAGGATCTCTAGTAGAATGTTGAATAGAAGTGATGAGAGCAGATATTCTTGCCTCGTTCTTGAGTGTTGCCATTAAGAAGCCTTTCACCACTGAATATGTTAGCTGTACATTTTTTGTATGTGCTCTTTATTAGTTTGAGGAAGTTCCCTTTTATTCCTGGATTCCTGAGAGTTTTTATCAGGAATGGGTGTTGAATTTTGTCAAATGCTTTTTGGTCTCTATTGAGATGCTCATACAGTTTTTCTGTTTTAGTTTGTTATCATGGTAAATTATATTCATTGACTTTTTAATGTTAAATCCATCTTGCATTCCCAGAATAAATCCCAATTGTCATCGTATATTGTTCTCTTTATATGTTGTTATTGTATATCATTATTACATATTAAGAATTTTTACATATGTGGTCATGAGGGATATTGAGGATTCTCTTGTCTCCACATCCTCACTAACACTTACTCTTTTTTGTCTTTTTGATACTAGCCATTCTGAGTTGTGTGAGGTGATATCTCATTGTGGTTTTGATTTGCATTTCCCTGATGGTAAATGATGTTGAGCATCTTTTCATGTGTCTGTTGGCCATTTGTATCTTTTCTTTGGAAAAAAGTCTACCCAAGTCCTCTGCCAATTTTTAAATCAGATTGTTTGGTGTATGAGTTCTTTATATATTTGGGGTATTAACCCTTTATCAAATATATCATTTGCAAGTATCTTCTCCCATTCAGTATATTGCCTTTTTATTTTATTGATGGTTTCTTTCACCGTGCAAAACCTTTTTAGTTTGATGTAGTCCCAATTGTTTATTTTTCTTTTGTTTCCCTTGCCTGGGGAGATAGATTAGGAAAAATACTAAGGCCAATGTCCAAGAATTTACTGCCTATGTATTCTTTTAGGATACATAAGGTTTCAGGTCTCACATTTAGGTCTTTAATCTGTTTTGAGTTTATTTTTGTGTATGGTGCAAGAAAGTGGTCCAGTTTCATTCTTTTGCATGTAGCTGTCCAGTTTTCCCAATCATGTATTAAAGAGACTGTATTTTCCCCATTGTATGTTCTTGCCTCCTTTGTCGTAGATTAATTGACTATATAAGTGTGAAGTTATTTCTGGGCTCTTTATTCTGTTCCATGATCTAGGTGTCTGTTTCCATGCTAGTACCATACTGTTTTGAGTACTATAGCTTTGTAGTATAGTATGATGCCTCCAGTTTTCTGTTTTTTGTTTGTTTTTGTTTTTGTTTTGCAAGATTACTTTGGCTCTTTGGGGTCTTTTGTGGTTCCATACAATAGGATCATTTGTTCTAGTTCTGGAAGGATACTAACTAATATAGTTAGCTTTATGAATTTTGACACATGCATACAGTTGGATCTCCATACCACAATCTATATGCATGACTGTTCCAATAACCCTAAAAATAGCCTTATGTTATGCCTTTGTAGTACCCTTCCTCCTACCCCTTACCACTAGTAATTACTGATTTGTTCTCCATCCCTATAGTTATATCTTTTCCTGAGTGTCCTGTAAATCAAATCATATAGCTTGTAGCCTTTTGAATATGACTTATTTTACTTAGCAAAATCCATTGAAATTCATCTATGTTGTTGTATGTATTAATAGTTGCTCCTTTTTATTGCTGAGTAGTATTCTGTTGTGTGATGTACCATAGCTTACTTCTTCAAGGACATTTAGATTGTTTCTAGTTTGAGGCACTTAGGAATTGCACTGCTATAAACATTTGCATACAGGTTTTGGTGTAACTCTAAGTTTTCTTTTTTCTTGGGCAAATACCTAGGAATGGGACTGCTAGGTTTTATGTAAATACAGCTGTAACTTTATAGGCTATGGGAGGTTTTTAACTATAGATTCTATTTCTTTGTTTCTGTTTAGGTTATTGGTTTCTTATTGAGTGAACTTTGGTAGTTTTGTCTTTCAAAGAATTAACCCATCTCTATTGAATTTATAGGCCTAAAATTGTTCCCCAATTCTCCTGATTATCCTTTTTTAATAGCTGTAGAATCTGTGGTAATGTCATCTTTCTCCTTCTTGACATTTGAAATTTGTGTTTTAAAATTTTTTCTTGATCACTTTGATGGGAGATTTATCAACTTTATAGATCTTCTGAAAGAACTAGCTTTTGCTTTCATTGAGTTTTGGCTGTTGAGTTTCTGTTTTCTATGTAGCTGACTTCCAGTCTTACCTTTATTATTTCCTTTCTTCTGCTTAATTTGGGTTTAATAGTTTAACATAGTACAGAAAATAATTTTTTCTCTCTGGAAGTAAATTGTCAGATTTTTAAACCCTTTAGTACTCAATCCAGGTGTGTGTGTGTGTGTGTGTGTGTGTGTGTGTGTGTGTGGTGTTTGGTATTTAGGCAAGAACATGAGACTTTGCTAGTAGCAAGATTTCAGAGAGAGTGAAATTGGTATTGTTTTAATAAGTTGGAGAACACAGGATTTTCTTTTTGTTTTGAATATTGATTTTTGTGTCTGTTCATCTGACATCTGTTTCCAACTCTGAATGAAGTGTATCTGTTAATTATTGAATGAAATGTATCTGTTAATTATAGAAGTATTTGGAGTTTCCATGAGAAGCCCAGTGAAATTGCCCACACATGGAGCTACTAGAGTTTAATATGTGGTATCATTTAAATGGGGCAAAATATTGTCACGAGGAGTAAAATTTTATTCTTGTCTCTAATCTTAGCAATCATTGAACCCAAAGGACCATATAATGTTTACTTGAATTAAGAATGTAAAACATTGAAATCCCTACATTTTCCCTGTTGAATAACCTCTAACTAAGATGATATGAAGCAGTTCTGGAGTTGTTTTTACTTAGTATGTTTTGATATGTTAAAGTAAGAAATTCCTGTAGTAAATAAAGTAGACTTCATATTACTTTTTAGGTTATTTGTCAAAGCTTGAATTAAAATCAAGGAAATAAATCACTCTGTTATTTCAACATTGTATTTAAATGTTAATGCAGATGTGATTTTCTCTGTAAATAAAAATAATTTTATTTTTTAGATGAAACTGGCTTAAAAATCAGTTTCAGTTTCTCTTTTAAATCCTTACTTTTTTAGCTGGTCTTCAATAAGAAATAGAGGTGTTATTAGAATTGGAGTAGGGGCGCCTGGGTAGCGCAGTCGGTTAAGCGTCCGACTTCAGCCAGGTCACGATCTCGCGGTCTGTGAGTTCGAGCCCCGCATCAGGCTCTGGGCTGATGGCTCGGAGCCTGGAGCCTGTTTCTGATTCTGTGTCTCCCTCTCTCTCTGCCCCTCCCCCGTTCATGCTCTGTCTCTCTCTGTCCCAAAAATAAATAAATGTTGAAAAAAAAATTAAAAAAAAAAAAAGAATTGGAGTAATAGCGGAAAGATGTATTATTTACCAATCTACGTGAAAATTATTTTTTTGTTTACTTTTCTAATTGTTTAATGTTACATTTTATCTTTTAGATCCTATTTGACCAAACTCAGAGATCAATTAAAGCACAGCTTCAGAACTTTGTTAAAGAGTAAGTCAATTACAGTGAAAAGAAAAGTAACCAGTGAATGATCACATCTGGGAGTTGGTATCTTTTGAGAGGAATTTTATGGACCATGATTTATTGAAAATTTTGGAGTTTTTGTTTGCTTTTTTGCTTTGTGAAATATATATTGCATTTTTTCCAGAGTTACTCTGTAAAGGAATCAGACTTGATGCCTTTCAGTGAATCATTTATATTATGAAATTTATATTCAGGATACATAACTAGGATTGTTAAAGATTAAAAAATAAATGAAATAATTTAATGGCCTTTCAAAATCAAAGCAGACCCCAAAAGTGATTGAAATGCTATTAGTTATTATAGTTGAGACTAAGTTTTCCTTTGTCTCAATATGGTATTTTTTTTGAAGAGAAGATAATGGAATATATGAAAATGAGTCAGGAAAGTGCATGTTTTTTGCCACATGTGAGCCTTTTATGTCACATTCATCCCGTTCTATATGTGAAATAAAATGAAACTAGAAATAGAAGACATCCAAATTTTCTAGATAGGAACATTTTCCTTTCCCACATTAATCAGTTTTTCTCTTTTAATTCCTGACTGAGAATATATAAAATTACAGATAACGTTGGTTACGATATAGTATTCAGGATAAATGGCACATGTTATAAGCTGCAGATAGTGGCAGCTCTCATGAACATAGTGCACTGCCATTTAGCAGGTTGGAATTTATTGTTTCGTTAGTGACGTCTTACAGATTCTTTGCAAATAATAGATTAATGTTCAGAATGTCCTTATAGAATGTATACATGAAAATTTATGGCTTTATTATCATTTTTTAAATTATTTGTCTTCAAGTCATTTTGCCTAGTTCTCTGGTAGAAAAAAATGAAGGGATATCATGTATTTATCTAAGATCATTAATCAAGGGTTTTGGATTTTTGGAATACTGAATGGAAACTTACTCTTTACGGGTACACAGTTGTTTTACAAAGGATTGTATCAGTGTGTGTTTTAAGAATATATTCATGCCCTTGACCCAGTAATTTCCCTCAACAAGAAATGAATGATATTTCTTAAAGTGGTTTGCAGACCACCCATAATTGGATTTATGAAAGTTTCACTATTTTTATTTTTTAGAGATCTTAGAAAATTCAAAGATGCCAAGAAGCAATTTGAAAAAGTCAGTGAAGAAAAAGAAAATGCATTAGTAAAAAATGCTCAAGTACAAAGAAACAAACAGCACGAAGTTGAGGAAGCCACAAACATTTTGACAGCAACAAGAAAATGTTTTCGACATATAGCCCTCGACTACGTACTTCAGGTATATTTATTATGTGTTTTCAAAAAACGCTTACTAAACACGTCCTTACTTTTGAATGATGGCATTGAAAGAACAATTAATAATGTTTCTTTGAGTTTAAAATCAAACCATGATCTTTTGTGAAAACTTTTCACTTGTCTGTATATCTCTGTGCATATATTTATGTGTGTACATGTGTACACCTTTGGTTTGGATTTCTTCACCTTTTCACTTAACATGATACTTCTCTCATTTTTAAATGTTGTAAAAAGCATTTTTAATTGCTATATTTTATTCTGTGGAATTACTGTGTCAATTTCGTTAGTATCTGATGATCAGATATAGTGTTGCCAGTTTTTACTGGAAATAGTAAAAATGTAGCTTTCAATAATTATAAATAATAATAACATCTTTGTATATAAATCTTTTGCCACATTTCTGATTATTTCTTTAGAGTAGACTCCTAGAAGTACTAAGGCTTACTATGTTGCCAAATGAAAAATATTTCTAGAAACACTGTTCTCATATTTACCATAATGTAAATATGAGAAAAAATATGGTGTTTAAAAAATTTTTTTAATGGTTATTTATTTTTGAGAGAGACAGAGACAGAATGTGAGTGGGTTAGGGGCAGAGAGAGAGGGAGACAGAATCTGAAACAGGTTCCAGGCTCCGAGCTGTCAGCACAAAGCCCGACGCGGGGCTCGGACTCACGAGCTGTGAGATCATGACCTGAGCCGAAGTCAGATGCTCAACCGACTGAGCCACCCAGGCACCCCCAAAATGTGGTGTTTTTTAAAACTAGAGATCAGTGTTTGGTAAGTTGCCTGGTGATCTTCTGGTCTTATGTATAATTGAAATCTATTTGGATTTGATAGGTCTCCAAAGGGATTCAAGAGATGTGAAAAGTGAAGGCACATACACATTGTTTCACATGTACTTGATATTTTCCCATGTATCATGAGTTGAAAGCTCTAAAGCTTATTTTGTCTAAATCTCCTTTTACAAAACAGCAATAGAGTCCTCAGAGATTGTTGACTTCATAGTGATCACAGGGCATTTCTTTAAAAACATACATAAGTAACCATATACAAATTAGTGCCTAAAAACTACTTAGATGGGGTGCCTAGGTGGCCCGGTCAGTTGAGTGTCCGACTTCAGCTCAGGTCATGATCTCTCCATTCGTGGTTTCAAGCCTTACATCCAGCTTTCTGATGTCAGCACGGAGCCCGCTTTAGATCATCTGTCCCTCTTTCTCTCTACCCCTCCTCTTCCCCCCCTTGCACTTACACTCTTTCAAAGTAAAACATTAAAAAAACCCTCCTTAGATAACTTTGCAAAACAGTAGAAAAAGACTAAGATTTTTAAAAAATTTCTATTCAGTAAGTGGGAAGTTACATTTTAAAAACTGAAGTGAATTCCGTTTATTAATGAAAGTCTCTAGAATGGCATGGTCTGTAATTTCCTATTTCCCATTACCTACCTCACATTCACCCCACTTCTGCAGTAATACGAATACTGTCTTCCTATCCGATTCCACTGAAATGGTTCATGCTAAGGTCTTACTCATTAGATAGAATTTAATTTTTAACCAACTTGACTCTCGCGTTTCACTGAAATGGTAGACCACACTCTTTCTTGAAATATACTTTTGTCTTAATTTATTTCAAATAACTTTAGGTCATCTTCCCGGCTTCGGTTGCTTTTCAGTTTCCATGTTGAGCTTCTCTCCTTTGCCTACCTTTTCAACCTCTTTTTCAGGTTTACATCTTTGGTTCTGTTCTTTTCTGACCTTTTGATTTTCCTGACAATCTCATGCTCTTTGCTTGAATTACCACTAAGTACACATGACAAAATTTATTTTTCTCAGACGCCCCTCTTTCTTTTTGTATTCACAACTGAAAACTGTCTTCTTCCGGGTGGCGTCTTTTTGCCCTTACCTAACTTGAATGGCGACACCCTTTTGCTCAATCCTAGAAGTTCCTGTGGAGAGTTGTTACACCAGATATTCTCATTCTCAGCTGCTATACCTAACAGCCAAAACTGCCTTATAAAGTTCTGTGAATCTCTAAAGTCTGTTCTTTCTGACCCTTGCTGTAGCACTTTATTATTTCTTATCTAGACTATTAAGATGTTCTCATAAAACTGGTCTTGCTTGCATTGCTTTTACGTGCTCCATTACTAGTTTATTCTCTGTTCTGTGGTCAGTTACTCAAACCTGTCCAGGCAAAATGAATCATTCTTGCCTCTGCTTCCACTGTGCTGCCATAATATTGTCATGCACATTGCTGTTAGAGCACTTACTTGCATTTATTGTAATTATTTATTTCTGTGTCTTTTATTCCTAGGTTGTGTTCCTTCCCTCTAGTCCAGTGGTTGGAAAATAAATTTTCCATTTTCTGTGGTGTTCATCCAAATAGTTTCACATTAGGACCCCTGCTTCCTCTATAGCTATTGCATTATTTGATTTTTCTTATGAGAACTGTTGTGTCATTTAATTATATGGCCTAAGTGGCGATTTTAGGGCATAGTAAGTAATAAATATCCAAATTTATAAAGTTTGTCATGCTTTAGCTTCCTTAAATACATGATTTTACTTTTTTTTCAAGTAAATGCTGTTTTTTGTTGCCAAACAGAAAAAAAAACATAGAAGAGAGGCACTTTTGTTTGGTATTTTTCAAAGTTTGAATAATAGGTTATCTGCAGCCCCTGCTTTTATTTAGAGCATTTGAAAGTTAATATTTTAGTTCTCAAAGCTGAATGGGCCTTGAAACACATACAAAGGAAATTAGTGGTTAGTTAAGTGTAGTTATTTGGATTTTTCTTGGTGTGGTTTTGTTTTGCGATCAGTGCTTTAAAATTATCTTGTAAGACAATAGGCAGAAGAACATATTAAAAAGGAAGATATTCTGTAAATCTTTTGACAATAATAGAAAAAAATGAATGATTCTTTTTTTGTATAAACATTTAATTTCATTAAGCTGATATGTAACAGATAAAAATAAAATACTTGTTAAGAATTTTCTGGAGTTGGGAGAGATACTACAAAGGTAACTTTCATAATTTACTGGTCTTTTAGTAAGTTTAGTCTACTTAAAATATTTAAGGTCCATTAATTTATTTAGCAAATATTTATTGAGTCCTCACTACGTACTACTTGGGGAATGCAGCTGGGAGTAAGACATAGGTAAATAAGAAAATATAAGGTAGTTATGAATGCTGTGAAGAAAATAAATAGGTTGGTATACTAGAGAGTATACCAACTCTAGTATATAGGGCCTACCTTGGACGTTTTTGAGGAGATAATATTTAAGCTGGGGCCTGATTAGTAAGAGGTATCCTTGTGTCTGGGCAGAAAATCATGACATGAAGACAGAGCAGCTAGTTTGAAGGTGTTGAGATGGAAGTAGTTTTGGACTGTAGTTGGAGCACAGAAAGGGGAAAGTAGTAGAAAGCTAGGTTAGAGAGGCAATCATCACAAAGGGCCACGTAGGTGATAGAAGGAAGTTGGAAGGTTTACGTTGCACATAGCATAATCTTATCTATATTTTGAAAAGATCACTCTGCTTGCTGTGTGGAGAATGGATCGTAGAGACTCAAGTATAGAGACACTAGTTCATAGGCCATTGCAACAGTCTAGAAAAGATAGGATGATGGTTGGTAGTGGTGGTAAAAGTAGTGAGGATTTGTATTGCAGATACATGTTGAAGGGTCTGGATGGACAGTTAGATGAGGAGGACGGGGAAAAGATGGAATTCTGAGAAATTCAAAGGTCTGTCAAAGTGATAGTTTTATCATTACAGTATTTATGGCTTAAGCATGACCAGTTTTTCTTTGAACTGAAATGGATGACAGTTTCATTGGTATGTTTGTCTTAACTGTTTTTGCAAAACGCAGGTCAAAGGGTAAAAACCTTGAACTTTGTTTTTATTTACTTTTCTGGAAAAGTATTAAACTTCAGAATAAGCAAATTTTACAATATTGCACTGTAGATTAGTTTTTAAAGTAAAAACTGGGTGATTAACCAACTGTATTTTCCCTCAGATTAATGTCCTTCAATCAAAACGAAGATCAGAAATCCTAAAATCGGTAAGATATTTATTGAAATGATATTTTAAATATTTTGGTATGATCTGAATGCACATATGTAAGCATTTAAGCAGCATCATAAGTTTGTGTGTATATATATGTAAATATATTTATTCCAGGTTCATAATTAATCTTTACAGATCTTTTTGTATTTCTCATATGCCACTTAACCACTTTTTTGTCTCCTTCACGTTATAGTTATTTATGTGTATCTCCTCTATTAACACACTGCGAGCTCCTTAGCATAGATGTTTAAATATTTCAGATTCAGGGCATGCATAAATAGTATCATTTAGAGAATTTTTCCTTAGGATTATTGATGATGTATCAGCCTTTTGGTTTGTTCTTTGGAGTGCAGTTGGAAAATAAATGAGATGAAATTTGAGAATAATTTTTTTCCCTGAGCCACTATACCCATAGAGAAAGTGATTTTTTTTTTTATGTGACCATTTTTGGTCTTAAAGTTATCAAGGAAGTGGGCAGGGGGTGGTAGTGGTATGGCATTGAACTTTTTCATATTTCGAGAATCTTAGAAATAATTTTTCCTCTCTTTGTTCACTGAAGTGTTTTATTTTTCTTTTCCCCTGAAAGGGTATACTTAAATTGCTTTGATCCTTGTCCCCACCAAGCTTTTTCCTAAATTCTATATTTATGATAGTGCTTACAGGTAAGTACATTGTACTTGCTCTTTACTTCCACTTCCTTTTCCAGACTGAGAGTAATGTATGTTAATTGTAGAAAATTGAAAACTGAAATGTATGAAGAAAAGAATTAAAATACTTATAAATCTTACTACCAAGGGAGAACCACTGTTATTATCTTGGCATATATCTGTATCTTTTTTCCTCTCTTTCTGTGTGCATGTATGTATGTGAATGTGTATATGTGTATTCTAAAATGGCTTTTAATTTAAAAAAATTTTTTTTAAACATTTACTTGTTTTTTTCTTAATTTTTTTTTTTTAACGTTTATTTATTTTTGAGACAGAGAGAGACAGAGCATGAACGGGGGAGGGTCAGAGAGAGGGAGACACAGAATCCAAAACAGGCTCCAGGCTCTGAGCTGTCAGCACAGAGCCTGATGCAGGGCTCGAACTCACGGACCGTGAGATCATCACCTGAGCCGAAGTCGGCCGCTTAACCGACTGAGCCACCCAGGCGCCCCAACATTTACTTATTTTTGAGAGACAGAGAGAGGCAGAGCATGAGCAGGGGAGTGGGAGAGAGAGAGATATACAGAATCTGAAGCAGACTCCAGGCTCTGAACTGTTAACATAGATCCTGATGCGGGGCTTGAACTCACGAACTGGGAGACCATGACCTGAGCTGAAGTCGGATGCTCAACTGGCTGAGCCACCTAGGCGTCCCCAAAATGGCTTTTAATTTTTTTTTTAAACAAAATAAGAATCATTGCTACATATGTTTTCTAACTTTCTTTTCTCAATAGTAACACTAAAGTCATCAGGTGTCATTAAATATTTTTTATTTGACGATGACTTTTGTGGCGAAATAGAATTCTACCATGTGGATATATTAGGGGTAGGCAACCTTTTTTTGTGAAGGGCCAGGTAGTGACTATGTTAGGTCTTGTGGGCCATGTGGTCTGTGTTGTAATTACTTAACTGTATGCTGTAATGAGAAAGTAACCATAAGGGCTCCAGGGTGGCTCAGTCAGTTGAGTGTTCGACTCTTGATTTTGGCTCAGGTCATGATCCCAGGGTCTTGGGATCGAGCCCTCCATGCTGAGTGTGGAGTCTGCTTAAGATTCTCTCTCTCTCTCTCTCTCTCTCTCTCTCTCTCTCTCTCTCTCTCT